GTGACAAGTGTCACCGTAGAATTAGCTACCAAAATATGTTTAACAAAACAAAGGAATTAATCAATAAAAAAATATAATCATAATACTCCTTCTCTCTCGTTATTCCCTTCCTCTCTCTTCTCTCTTTCAACAGAGCTCTCGCCGGAAATCGCCCGTGGCGGCAACGACGGTGGCCGACAACGGATTTTCTCCGATCGTCAATTTTATTCCATTTTTTGATTCGTTTTCTTCTTATGATCCTTAACCTCTGGCTCATTTTTACAGATGTTCAACGATTTGTCGTAGATTTGAAAGGCGGAGATCAAAACCCTAGCGGATCTGATGGTGAAAATCGGTGATAATGATGAGGACGATACACTCTTGGTAGCAAAGACGTTACATCTGAGGCTTCTCTGGTGAGATCTTTCTGATCTGAAACCTTTTCTTCTTCTTCTGTATTTCGGTCAATTTTATGAAGGGTTTTTGAGTTTTGGAAAATGATGAATATCTTTAGGGTTTTTGTGGTGGTGGCTGTGGCTTTTTGTGATTTCAGTGAGCAATGTTTTTTTCTTGTTTGATTTCTGAAGGGTTTCTGTAAGGAAAATGATGATAAGGTTTAGGTTTCGGCTTGTTGCTGCTGTGCAGCTTTAAGTTTCTGTGAACAGTCGCCTCCCCTTGAAAATTGTGCAATGATTGGTTTTTATACTTATACGATTAGGGTTTTCTGCTGTGAGTTTTCTCTGATTAACAAGCCTTGAACGGAATTTGTTTTGCTATTGGACTTTGGCATTTTTTTACATGTTATAATTTTCTGATATGTTGCTTGCTGTTGGACTTTCATAACTCTGATGTGTTAATTGTGTTTGTATTTTGAACCTCTTTTGTGAACCAAAGTTAGAAATTGTGATTTACAATAAAGGAGATAGGCAAATAACTTGAAATGCAATTATGATTTTGTTATGAAACAAATGTATGAGGCCTTATTGTTGGATTTGTAAACATGATTGATTTAAACCCCTTATTTATGATTCCTTCACAAAGCCCTCATGATGGAATTAAAAAGAAACTTTGAAAACACTTTATTCCTACTCAAGTTTGATGATTTGCTAACCATTTCCTCTTCTTTTTGTTTCATGAGATTGAAAAGACGATGAAGCTGTGAAGAACTTATTTGGAGAAACCGTAGCTATGGAAGAAATTGGGAGGAAAACAAAAGATGAAGAAATGAAGTTTCAGCCAATAAAACCTGATAGAATAGCTTAGGGTTTAGATTCTTTTTGATTTGGTCTTGTAAGAAAAGTTTATAATTTGAACTTTGAACTTAATTGTGTTGACAAGAATTTTGTAAAAAAATCTTGAAACATTTGTGAAGTCTTGTATAATTCCAACTAAATCTTGTGATTATGTAAACCACTTGAAAAAAATCTGTAGAAATTAATGAGTTTTCATTGAACCAAAGAGTGTAAAATCTTCAATTCTTACCCATGTACTGAAATAAACTTGTGCTTTATGGTATTCAACATTTTGAATTTTCACTTCACGCTTTGCCTTGCAAATAACATTGTGACACTTTGTGGAGTTTTGAAATTGAAATTGATGATATGAACCTTGGCTTAGAAACAAAAAAATCTTTAAATTCCTCCTTGACAAAAATGCAAAATATTCTAAGTAGGAAATGTAAATGGCCTTGAGTAGAAAGAAAAGAAAATGGTCTTCAATTTATTTATTTCCAAACTTTTCAAGATGAACATCTTTTAAGTAGTAAAACAAAAGAACCAAAACTCCCTCCAATGGCCTTTTTGAAATTCAGAATCTAGTAAGCCCAAAAATGAACTCTAAAAAGCTCAAAGAATGTACTATAATAAGCCCAAGAGAATCTTCACTAGACTCTGCATCATAACTTCACCATTTGAACTCAAAAATTGAACCAAAAATCCACTTGATTTTTAGAAACCAAATAGAATCCTCCTAATGAAAATCCACATAGAATCTTTCCTTAATCACTGAGATAAAGAATGATATCTTGCCTTTGAAGAATCTCTGAAAAAGATCAAAATGGAATCAAAGAAAAAAACTTCTATGAACCTTAGTTGATAATAGAAGGTGTACTGAAATAATACTCATGATGATAATTGATTCAAGAATTTAGTCAAAAAAGATGTCAAACACTTCAGTAATCAACACCTTAACACAAGAGCCAATAGATAGGAGAAAATGTGATTCACTTGGAAATACTTGCAACTCTGAATCCCCTGATGAAAAATCAGTTCAGATGTCCTGAGGCCTGAGAAGCTTTAGTAGCCTTGAGCAATTGAAAATCCTAGGAGCATGGGGGGTATCTTGGAGAAAATGGGAGGGAAAATTTTGGGGTACAACATGGATTGTTCTGCTTAGAGGTTAATTTTTGAAAAAACCCTCTTAAATCCCTTCAATTTCGTCCATTTTGCACTTATGGCCGAATTAGAACCCGTTAAAATTGAAGAGTCTTTGAGTGATCCAAACTGAATTTGTGTTATGAAGGAGAAGCTGGAATCGATTGAGAAGAACAAGACTTAGGAGTTATTTGATCTAATAGAAGGAAAGAATCCCATTGGTGTAAGATGAGTGTACAAAGTAAAGGTAAATCCCATGGGTGAAATAATCAAGCATAAGCCTCGATAGTTATAAAAGGATTTTTACAAAGAGAAGGCATAGACTTTGAAGAGGTATTTGCACTAGTGGCTAGAATTGAAACCATTAGGCTAGTTGTTGGTATTGAAAATAAAAACAATTGGTCCATCTACCAAATGGTTGTGAAATTTTCATTTTTGAACAAACCGCTTGAAGGAAAAGGCTTATGTAGAACAACCCATGGTTTTGTTGTGATAAACCAAGAGTCAAAGTTCTACAAATTGAAGAAAGCATTGTACAGTTTGAAACAAGCTCCAAGAGCTTAGAACACGAGGATAAATGGTTTCTTAAAGGAGATATGCTTCAACAAGTGTGTATCTGAACACAGTGTGTATGTGAAGAAGGATACAAATGTAGGGGGGGTGAAAATCCTCTGTCTCTTCGTAGATGATTTGTTGATTATAGGTAGCATTGAAGGTTGCGTTTCTAAGTTCAAGAGTGAACTTATGAAGGAGTTTGAAATGACCGACCTAGGCCTCATGACATACTTCCTTGGTATTTAGTTTTACAACTCCAACAATGGACTATTCATGCACCAAAGAAGGTATGCACTTGAGATTTTGAATTTTTTTTGAAATGGAGAATTATAGTGTTGCCATTACTCTGGCTGAATCGAGGCTACAGTTGTCGAAGAATGAAGATGAGCAAGATGTTAATCCAACTCAGTATATGAGGATGATTGGATCCTTGCATTACTTGTGTAATACGCCGCCCGATTTGGCGTTTAGTATCGGTATTGTGAGTAGATTCATGGAGATAACAAAGGTGTCTCACTTGGTAGTAGTCAAGAGGATTCTAAGATACTTCGAAGGATATATTGGTTGCGCAATTCTCTTTCCCGCAATGGAAAAGGGCAGAAAATGCAATTTACTGAGATTTACCGATTCCAATTGGTGCGGAGATACGGATGATAAAAGCACCAACCTCATGGTGTTCGAAGAATAAACAGGTAGTGGCGCTCTCTTCTTGTAAGGCAGAGTACATTACAGCATCGTCGTGTGCGTGAAAAGCCGTGTGGTTAATGAATTTGTTGAAGGAACTGAGTAACAAAGAGGGTAACACTATAACACTCACGGTTGATAACGTTTATGATATAAACCTTGCTAAGAACAAAATTTCACATGGGAGAGGCAAGTATATCGAGATGAGGTTTCACTACTTCAGAGAACTTGTTAGTGAATGAAGATTAAGTTGGAGTATTATAGAAGTGAAGACGAAATAATTGATTTTGTGACCAAATGAGTCACAATTGAAGTGTTCTAAAGATTGAAAAATGTAATGAGCATGGAATACTTGAAGCTCATGAATTAAGATGGCGTTTTAAAAGAAAAAGCTAATTCATGTGCATGTAATCGGTTGCACTTTTATGTCAACCGATTACACCCCTTTAAATTTGTCGAACATAAGTAACAGTAGAAAAGTTCAACAGGGTGACATAATATGTCAATCAGTTACACTTGGAGCTTTTTAGTTAAAAACTGAAGTCAGAAGCAAAGTGAAATCCGTTGACATAATATGTCAACTAGTTACACCTGAGAGTTTTCAACTTTTATTTTGTTTGATAATTGCACTTCATCATGTAATTGTAAGAATACCCTTGCGGTATCCTGTGAATGAATATAATGCATATTTCACCCTCAATTATCACTCTCTTTCATTCTGTCTTGTTCTCCCTCTTCACACTCAATTACTCAATTATTCACCATCTTTGGGTTCCAAATTTCAACAAATACAAAATAATTAAATATTAATTTGATTATATTAATATATAATATTTAAAAGAAAAATATTGAATAGAATAAAAATAAAATTTAGTGACGTAAGAAAAATTAATATGTTATTTTGAGTGAGACACTATAAATATTAATTTTTCTTTTTATAATTATACAGACATGACCGACTATCTATAACCCATATGAGTTGTCTCTAATAAATAGCAAAAATTTTGAGACCGAGGAGATGAAAAACACCCTGAAAAATATTAACTTTAATTTTAACGTCTAGACTCTAATTCTTTTGAACTTAACCGATCGACTTATATAGACTAACCCTTTTTAAAAGTTTTACATAAGACCCACTATGTAAATTACATAATCATCTCATAGAAATCCATTATCTTACCATGTATGTCTATTTTGTAATTGCCTATTAAACATTACTATCACATACTACATACTAATTGGACATAAGTTTAAAACTAATATATACTAACCTTGCTTAATTTTTTATAATCCCTCGCTAAGATCGTGATTAATAAAATATTCAACATCTAAAATATCTCTTATTTCAAGCTTAATAAAAAAATCCTCTATATAAGTGTCAAACACTTCATCATAAAACTATATCCTCCAATGGCTACAACTCTTAGGTTCATCTTTCTCTTCACTTTCACTCTCATACTTGCTCATTTCTCCCCTACCAATGGAATATTCTCCGAACACTCCAACATCATGTTACCAACAAATCAACAAAACACAGAAAAAACAACCCATTTGCACTTCTTTTACCATGAAAACTTAGAAGGAAAAAATCCAACAGTTATAAAAATCATAGATCCATCAACTCCCTCACCAAATGGATTTGGAACAACTTTCATGATGGACAACCTCTTAACTGAAAAACAAGAGATAACCTCAAAACCTGTTGGTAGAGCTCAAGGAATATTCGGTTTGGCATCGTTGCAAGATCGCGGGTTGGTAATGTTAATTAATCTTGTTTTTATCGAAGGTGGATTTGCTGGTAGTACTCTTAGTTTGCTTGGAAGGAATCCTGTTCAGGATACTGTTAGAGAAATGCCTATTGTTGGTGGCACTGGTGTGTTTAGGTTTGCTAGAGGTTATGCTGTTGTGAAGAGTCTTTATGAGATTTCAACATCTGAAAATTTTGTTGTTGAGTATAATGTCACTATTTCTCATCCATAGAATTTTTGTAAGGTTCTTTTGGGGTTATTATTACAAATTGTCTATCTATTTTCATTTTGAGCAATGAAGTAGTTGTTTTGAATTATCATATTCTTGTTGTTTTATTATTAAGAAGAATGTTAATGAGTAATCTAAGAATATTGATTAAGAAATAACTTATATTAAATTGACATAAGTAACAACTTGTATTTATTAAATTCTTTTGGGATGCCCTAAGGACTGTCTAATATTATATTATACACTATACAAAACTCAATAATATAATTTTTTTAATGATAAATAATATTATATATAAAAGGTGAAAAAACACCAAAATATAACATAGATAAAACAAAATATATGATATATCAAAATATAACTAAAGATAAAAAAAAATAGAAGATAAACGAACAATAGAATCAATTCTACCAATAAAATAATTAAAAGGATCCCGTAGATAATAAAAATCCATACTCTTAAAATCCACTTCGTTGGTAGCATGTTAGATCTCAAATCAACAGATCCACCATCAATAAATTAGATGATAAAATAAGTAGATAGTAAGGTATGTTTTCAAAAATAATTTTTATAAAAACATTTTTTAAAATATTAAAGTTTTCTAAATTGAAAGATTAATTTTGACTTTCTCTAACATAAATAAATATTATTGAAGACTAAAACGTTGAATCACAGTTTTTCAAAAAAATATATTTCAAAAATGATTTTTATGTAAAACTATTTGAAATAACTTCAAATTTAAGTGATTTTTTTTATAAAAATTTTGATATCCAAAAAGATTTATATTAAAATGATGTAATACCTAAAATATAATTTTAAGAATAATTATTTAAACCAATTTTTCATTTGAAGTTTTTTTTTTTTAAATTCTCCGTAAATTTTTTTCAACAGAAATATGTAACACTAAAAAAATTATTTTAAAAAAGTTGAAACAAATGGACCATATAAAAAATTATTTTAAAAAAGTTGAAACAAATGGACCATATAACCTACCTCAGAGACAAGACAAACACACTTACACACCACAAACGTATAACTATATCAAAATAATAAAAAGAGTATTGTCCTCATAGAGGATTACCAATTCACATTACTCATGTGTTATTTAAGGTGATCGATAGTTTTTTTTTATAGGAAAATAGGTTTTTTTTAACAGTTAAATTTTAATGCGGGATTTAGGATTTATGATTCCGATCCTATGGTTTCTTACGCAATTTCTCAATTATATTACGAGAAAGAAAATATTTTTTTGTTTAAAAATAGAAAAAGTGGACAACACCTATATTGGCGTGTTGTCCTATTCTAGACCAACAAAGTACCTACTGTCATCACCATAGTTTTTAGTTTTGGACCAATTTTAAGTGCAATTATTGAAAATGAGACTTTCTCAACTGATTTGAGACACCTTCGTAGCCTCAAACTCATTTATCTAGTTTTTCTATGTCAGACGTCAATTCACACCCTTTCAAAATGTGATTGATATCTAAGGATATGTCTACTTTCACAGAGATATATGTGTTTAAAATAGAAATCTAGAACAATCTTTATAATTTTCTCGTAATGAAATTATAGAGAACTGACACGAGGTATGTCATAGGATAGTTCTCGTGATCTTAAATCCTAAGAGAATCTACTAAAGCATGGGAAAAGTTAAAACACACATGGTAATTATTGAAAGCATAAACATTACGAAATAATATACAAGAAACAAAAGATTAACATGTATTGCAGTGATCATTATTATAGACTGCTAGATAGAGACTTTTAACAATAACATGAATAAAAGCTTTGCAGGAAATAAAATGCATAGAAAATAAACTTTGCTTAAGAGTATTGATCGTGCTTGATCAGAAGAGATCGTCAAGGCCCACGAACTTCAAGTTGAGCAGCAGTTGAATGTGAAGTGGGGGGAGGATACCTGCAAGACACTCTAATGACAAAGTAAGGTTTAGAGCGAGAGCAAGTAAAATATGTGAGGTAGAATGTATGAATGAATAAATGAATGAATAGATACCTGACCCTCTCGAGTGAGAGGGTTTATATAGCCTTCAGCGCTGAGCCAAGGTCTTCATTGTTGGGCCACAATGAGACCCAATAATAAAGACTGGCAAGATTTACAGGTGTATGGAGTCCAGTAAGTGGCCTCCTCCCTGGTCAACTGCCCCAAGAAAGTAGGGAAGTTGGACACGTTATTCTCGGAGGGCGGGATGATGACATTATGGACACGTGGGTCATGCTCTTCTAGTGGACACATTGGGAAATACCCAACGGTCCTCAATTTAGGCTGAATGCTTTTAGGCCTTGTAAAAGTGTTGTATTGGGCCTCCCCAATAGTTGGGAAAGTGTCAGACCAGTCCAGAATAGGAGCCCCCAAAGTTATCGCCCTTAGGCGAAAGGGTGATGACTTGAGATCAGTTCGAGTGCCAGGGAAGTGTTGTCTAAGAGGGGAAACTATCAACTCCCGTCGGGGAAAATTACGTGATTTATGTCGAGGAGATGGTTCTTAGGGTCAAAGAACTGAAAGAGTACCTCCATCATTTTTTCTTCAAAATTTGATGTAGCCAAGTTGATGAGACGACCATACTTCTTGGTGAACGGAGAATCATGGGGAACCCTTGACGCTAACTCCTTGAGTTGAGGAGGCACTTTCACAAAGCTGATTCAGATAGTCTTTCTATGAGTGGAATCCATGTCCTACAAAATAGACAAAGATAAATCTCAAGGTCCTTGAAATGGTTAGTGCAAATGCCATGGTATAATGTCATGATGTTATGTACAGATAAACATATACAAACAAAGCAACCAAGTCCTTAGGTTTAGGCTTGCATGAGGTTCATAGGTGAGTACCCTTTTGAAGTTTAGTTGGTTCAACCTGTCCTACAAAGTAATTGGGTTCTAGAGAATCTCAATATCATTGATCTTTCTTCATTGGGCATTATCTCAATATAACCAATATTTTCTTGCGGTTGAAACATTCCAAAAGTACGATCTCAATGAGCATAGTATCGAGTATCAACCAATTTTCAGATTTCCATTGAAACTGGCTATCTCACTACTTCCTAATGGCCAAGTTATTCAACTAAAGGTTCTATGGTCAGTTAGTGCTTCATGACACCATACAACGGCCCCGTATTCTCCTTGATTCAACACAAAGGATACCGATACCCACAAATGTGTCACACTAATGTAGCTATTGCTTGAACCATATCGGTCTATGTCGTACAATTTCCATAATCCTTGCTACTTACCTAATAATGTTCCCATATCCGGGTAGAGGATCAATAGAAATCCCAAACAAGGACCCAAAATATAAAGCAAACAAGTCAAACAATGAAATAATTTAAAGGTGACCTAGTCTCTAAGGTAACCCCACTTTTAACTATTCCCTAGCAGAGTCGCCAGTTCTGTAATACGGTGGAAGAACTAACTATGGTGTTTTGTGTTTTATCATAATTTTTGTGAATACCAAGAGTCTCCACCGACTGTTCTTTTATCCAATAAAGGAAAGGGTGAAAAGAACAAGAAATACCTTTTGAAAATTTTCTTGAGTTCGGGGGGTGGATTATGAAAAGGGAAGGTGTTAGCACCCTTTTCATCCGTAGTTATCTACGGGCTCTTAGTTGCTAGCTCACTTTGAAATGCTTTATTTGAAATGTGTTTGTGATAGTTTGAAAGTATTTTTGAAAAGTGCCTTCATTTAGGCGAACTTTGTAATGATTCTCGTCTCTATAAGAATGCATACAAAGTGTTAAATTTTGAAAATATTTCATTTGAAAGTGTTGGTGTATTTGAAAGATGTTTTTGAAAATGGTTGTGAGCAAGCAACTATGAACGTTCTACCTACTCAAAAAATCTTTGTCCATTTCCTCCTCCTTTAGATATTGCTATCTTACCATTGATTGATAAGAAACCCTATCATTGGATGTGAAGGGATGGGCGTGGGTCGTCGTATAGTCATAGAAAGCAACATTGTAAGATACCTTAGAAAATTTTTAAGGGTCTAAGATTATTTATAAAGGCAACATTTGAGGGGTCATCGAGGGACTATGATCTTGTACTTGATTATTTTTGCTAAAGTATCCCACGTTTGTGTAACATGACTATTTTATCCGAGGCAATAAGTGTGGTTAACCCTAGAGGTGTAATTGTGAAAAGTGTTTATTTTTCATGCATTTTTGTCTTGAATTAGGGTTTTCTACTTGTTGATTTTATGTCTTGCCATACAAATCCTAATTACTACCATTTATATTGAAAGCGATAAGTTACGGAAATATAAAATTCTACGCTATTACATCATTTAGGGATGGGGATACAAATTACGAATGGGGGATGAAATCAAATAAACCCTAATTTACTATTACAACCATATTGAATATGAACAAATAATGCACAAGAATGTATGATAATATACAAGGAAAAAGAAATTGTTTTTGTTTGAGTTTTTGAAAGGTTTTAATTCTAATTAAGCTAACTAAAAAAGGAAATAAATAATTAATTCAAATAAAACTAACCTAAATTGATTTAAGGAAAAGAAATTAAATTAATTAAGAAAAACAAGTATTTTTAGGATTTTTTATGAAAAGATTTTAATGTTAACTTATTTCATTAAACTAAAGTGAATGGAAAGAATTTAATTAATGAAAATCCTAAGTTCTAAATTAATTCAATTAAAAAAGAAAACTAAAACTAAGTCTAATATTAATGTAATTAAAAAAAAGAAATTTATTAAAGAAATGTTTTTGGCCTTCTTGTCTAAAAGAAATAAAATAAAAATATATAAAATATCTAAATAATAAATACTAAATATTTTTGGTATTTTTGATTAATAATAATAATAATAATAATAATAATAATAATAATAATAATAATAATAATAATAATAATAATAATAATAATAATAATAAATGATAAAGAAAATACAATTAAAATTAAACCAGGAGGGTGTAAAAGTGAAAAGGGTAGTTTGTAAGCAAAAGGTTTTGTTTTGAGGCCCAACTGAGTTT